GCAGACCGACAGCACCCCCCCCCCCGCCGCGGCCCCGTAGCTGCACGTTCCCTCTGAGTGTCCCCACCTCTGTACGCCTGTGGTGGGCGCCTCTCGGCTGCTCTTAGTTTTGGTGGAGACTTTTAAGCCTGGAGGCACAACCAGATTATTACTTGGAACTTGCAGGGGAACAGTGAACCAGCCCTTAGTTTAATTATCTATAGTTTCCTGGGTTTTCTCAGAAATAGGGATCTTAGCTGGATTGCACATCCTTGCATTTGGTAAGGATCAAGTGGAATTGTCAGGAACTGGATGTGTGTAAGTTAATAAAAGATAACCTTTGGCTCGTACATGAGACTGTGGAACGTCTTTGTTTCTGCTCTCAGGCAAAGGCCTTTCCACAGAGAAACTCTCGGTATCTTGACGCCTATATTGTTGGTGAGTCTTTGATCACAGTTTGATGGCCAAAGGTAGTTCACTTTTGATCATAAATAGAATCAGGGTTTGAAAATAAAAACTGAAGGAAACATACTCAGTGTTGGGGTTACACGTTTTTACTAATGGTAAAATCAGCATTTTTACTAATGGTAAAATCAGCATTAGTAACAGACCTGAATGTTTTGTGAAATTTTCTTACCCTGATGCAGGATCCCGAGAGGACAAGACAGGTTTACCAAGCCTCTTTGGAACTAATTCCTCATAAAAAGGTACGTTTGGTCCAAGCGTTCTGTTCCAGATGCATCGAAATCCTGTGTCTGTTGCTTGTGACCAGGTTCAGTGAAACAGTATTGACGACTTCCCTGTGCTCGCCTCCACGAAAAACATAAGCAAGATACGCTGTTCGCCTCTGAAAACAGCTTACCATCCAGTTGAGGGGACCGCCTGTGTTAAGTGACAGATGACCCACACAGATGATCATGTAGAATTTCAGAGGAGGGTGGTCACTGGGGTAGACTGAGCGGAAGGATGGGGCACAGGAACAGCCCGCAGGTGTCTGGTGGCGCCCCAGTGCACATGTGCAGACGTGGGGAACACACGTGTGTTCTAGAAATGGCTGACGATCTCTGCCAGATTTCCCAGCACAAGAAACAGGTATTGATCGAGTTACCTTCTAGGATAGAGGGGGATATTCTGTGATTACTGTTCATATTTCTGTCAAATATTGTCATCTTAGCTTATAAGCAAGAAAATACATCTGTCTTAGCTCTGAAGTTTCAGGGAAATTTGTGGCCTTTGTTAATTTAAATTTAACTTAATTGAATTTTTGTGCTTCTATTTTCTAGTTCACATTTGCCAAAATGTGGTTACTATATGCACAGTTTGAAATAAGACAGAAAAATTTACCATTTGCCAGGAGAGCTTTGGTAAGTAAAGAAAGGATCAAGCTGCACTGTAGAGTTCTTTGAGAAGGAAGTTGAAACCTTAGTGCTTACAAGTTAGTACTAAGAAGGCAACAGAAATACTGTGCCCTTGTCACCTGAGACGCGTCAGAAAACACGTGGCCTTTGAAGAAAGACTGAGGAGTGATGCTGAGATGGTCCTTTGTCAGCACCGGAACCTTCCAGCTGCCAGGTCCTCCTCTGGCTGCAGAGATGGGATCTTAGGCTAGAGCTCAGATCAGATCTGCGGTAGTCTGATCCTCTACAGGACTTCGGGTGCACTGAATGCACCTCCCTCTTAACACGTGCTCTACAACTTCCCGGTAGGCGCAGAAGCAGTTATCCTTCCGATAACGCACCAGGCCGTGGGCTGTGAGGCAGGGTTCGTTCCTTGATGAGCCTTCAGTTGTGGGAGGTGTTGTCCATCCCTCATCCACGTTCCCTATGAGATCTTGGGAAACTAAGTGAAATTCAAACTAGCTTTCCAGACAGTTCTGCAACACTGTCTTTTCTGAACAGGCACCCGTGGGCACAGAGCCTCTTGACCCCCGAGTGAATTGGAAGGTTTCCTTCGGGCTCTGTCAGGAGCAGGCATGAGCAGTCCGATGCCACACGGGTAGGGGGCTCGCCGTGGTGATGCTCCGAGGCTCCTGCTCGCGGAGAGCTGCTTCTAGGGCAGGCGGGCGGTGTCTGTGCGCAGGTCAGACCCACGCAGGCATCACAGCGGTTGGTCCTCTTTTCCAGGGAACTTCCATAGGCAAGTGTCCGAAGAACAAGCTGTTTAAAGGCTACATTGAACTGGAGCTACAGCTTCGAGAGTTTGACAGATGCCGGAAGCTTTATGAGAAGTTCCTGGAGTTTGGACCTGAAAATTGTACCTCTTGGATTAAATTTGCAGAATTAGAGACAATCCTTGGCGACATCGAGAGAGCACGGGCGATCTACGAGTTAGCCATCAGTCAGCCGCGCCTGGACATGCCAGAGGTGGGGCTCTCGAGCTCAAGTGGCTTCTAGCCGCACGTGACCATCTAAGACAGGAGGTGGGGGAAGCAGCCCTCAGTCGGGTCCCAGAGCACAGCAGAGCCGCACTGTGAGGCCAGGATGACGTGGGTGTTACGGGTGGGTGGCGGGCTCCTCCCTTTCTCACACAGAAGGCTGAGGGTGCGGGCCGGGGCAGCCCAGCCGAGGCCGCCTGGAGAGCAGGCGAGACCCAGGAGGAGTCTGCGCGTCCCCGGGTTCTCCGGGCGCGGCTCTGCCTGGGTTAGGCCCTAACTGAACCGGGGTGTTCCTGGAGGTGCTGCTGTCACTGTGGGGAGTCCTGGGTGGCCCCAGGGCCGCAGATCATCCCTGCAGGGGCCAAGCTTAAGCCACAAGGTGGCGCCAGACGGCAGCTAGGACCGATTTGAATCCCTCAGGAACCAGTGAGCTCACTCAGCCGTTTTGTTGGTCTTGCACTAACGCGCCCCTGCACCGGATGGTTCACCAGGCCCACTGACTGCGGTGGGCCAGGGCTTTACGTGTCACCGGCCCCACCAGCTGGCCTCAGCTGCTCCCCAGACTGCAGCTCCCCCCCTAGACTGCAGCTCTCCCCCCGCAGACTGCAGCTCTCCGCCTAGGCTGCAGTTCCCCCCTAGGCTGCAGCTTCCCATCCCAGACTGCAGCTCCCACAGACTGTGGCTCCTCCCAGACTGCAGCCCCCACCCTGCAACTGCAGCTCCCGTCCCCCGGCTGCAGCTCCTCCCCTATGCTGCAGCTCCCCTCCCAGGCTGCAGCTCCCCCCAGGCTACAGGTCCCTCCAGACTGCAGGTCCCCCCAGACTGCAGGCCCCCCCAGACTGCAGCTCCCTGACATTCAGGCCACGGCTTACTCGTCCCTGTGCCCTGACAGGCTGTACTGAGCAAGTGGGCAGCTGTTCAGTGGCTGCTAGTTGAGCTGAGCTCAGACACATCACGGAAGTCACAGTGGAGGTAAAGCTGGTGTGTCTAGTGCGTGCTGGCTGATGTAGGGCTGTTTCCTCCCCACAAGTTCATTGTATGTGCAGGGTCATGACAGTGCCCGGGAGATCTGGTAGGTTTCTCTGCTCTTCTTGATAGCCCAACATTTGAGAAACTCCAAAAGAGAATCCAAAAATTAATCCAAGGTCTTTTTTCTCATAATCTAGAATCCTGGCCAGTTTTGTCCAGCTTGTAAACAGCGGTGTCATTTGCTGTATCCACACACTGTCTGTTCTTTACTTAACTCGTGAAAGTTCTGGGTTCCTGATGTCCTAGTCGGAGTGCTATTAGGCTGTGTTTTGGAGAGGGTCACGTTGCTTCTTAAATGTCGAGGCCGACATGGGACGTTTTCTTTCTTAGGTGCTTTGGAAATCATACATTGATTTTGAAATCGAGCAGGAAGAAACTGAGAGAACCCGGAATCTTTATCGACGACTGCTTCAGCGCACGCAGCACGTCAAGGTACCCTCTGCTTCGCGGGGGGGGCTGATTTCCCTCGTGTCAGCGGTCCTGAAGAACTAGTGTATTTCTGTATTTAAAAAATTTTTGTAACATATATTTATTTTCAATGGCTTCCTTCCTTTTACAGAGAGCTTGTGAGCCTCAGAGGACTTTGGAATGTTAAGCTTATACCTGGTCAATACACTGCATGTGAATAACTTTGGTATTACAGAGTTGAATAAAAAGTTAAACTTTCAGGATTTGAAAACTACATCAGCCAGTTTATTGGCTATAGAAAGCAGCAGGCTGCTTCAGCTGCAGCATGTAGTCGGTGTGTTATGTTGTCTGGTATACTAGTGATGAACACGTTAGCGTGTCCAGGTGTCATTAACAGGAAGTTAGCTTTATTATCATATCGTTTTCTGGGTGACATGGTTAATTTGGTTCTGTACTTTTTTTTTAAAGGTATGGATCAGTTTTGCACAGTTTGAGTTGTCTTCAGGGAAAGAAGGAAGCGTGGCTAAATGCAGACAAATCTACGAAGAGGCGAACAAAACCATGCGAAACTGTGAGGAAAAGGAAGAGAGACTTATGCTGCTGGAATCTTGGCGAAGCTTTGAAGATGAATTTGGAACAGTGTCAGATAAGGAGAGAGTCGACAAGCTCATGCCAGAGAAAGTCAAGAAGAGAAGAAAGGTGCAGGCTGATGACGGGGTAAGGACGAGCCCCCGGAGCTGGTCCCCACGTGCAGTCTGAGGCCCCGGGGGGTCGGGGGGAGACACAGCTGGGTGTGTGCTCCCCCCAGGGGGCGAGGAAGGGGGAGGTTGGCAAAGGCTTCTGCTGGAACTCTGAAGTCTGGTGTTTCTGGAGCATCAAGCAGGAAGTTAGGGTGGAGGGAACTGAAAACTCAGCCATTAGGTCGGAGCCAATCCAGAGAAGGCTTTGCAGGCAGTGCAAGGCGTCTCCTGCAGGCGATTTGAGGGGCTTGGTTGGAGGACCATCTGTCGGGAGGCTGTTGGAAACAAAGCAAGTGGTGGTGGGAGCCGGCACCAGAGCGATCTTTGGGAAGCAAGCTCAGCGCCCTGTTGGAGGTGGGATGTGAGGGCGGGGAGCCAGACTAACCTCAGGTGTACGGCCTTCACCACTGGGTAAAGATTCAGTAAATCTTGAGAAATTTAAAATCTGACATGGAAGACTGCAAGATGGGGTTGAAGACGCCCACTGCCTCCTTGGTTGACCATGGAGAACTGTGCTTGAATTTTTAGAATTTTTTCCACTGGGTTTTTAGCTCTCAGAAGCACCATTTGACAGCAGTTACTGACTCCCGATCTTCCGGGCCCAGCCCTCGTTCTTTCTGTCGTAGACTTTGATGTTACTTTGCAAAATGAAGAGAAGTTGAATTTGAACCCTGGGTTTCCCAGTGAAAACTCTAGTCAAATGCATTTCAGCCACATGGTAGCTCATCTTTTAACTGTCTTGCTTCTCTAGTCTGACGCAGGCTGGGAAGAATACTATGATTACATCTTTCCGGAGGATGCTGCCAACCAGCCCAACCTCCGGCTCCTGGCCATGGCCAAGCTCTGGAAGAAACAGCAGCAGGAGAAGGAGGCTGGGGAGCAGGACCCGGACAAGGACCCTGCAGACAGTGAACCCGGGCCTTCTGGTCCCTGTTGACAGACTTTTTATTATTTTTATAAATTTACATTTTGGAACTCTTGTGATTCGTGTTAAGTTTTTGGATATTTCACTGATAATGAATTGATAATCTCTGACAACTATTTTTTGAATTATTTTTAAAATGCTCTGGGGTTAGTTAGGGGTGGGGTTTGCAAGTAAAGGAATTTTTTTAACTGCTAGATTTCTTTATCTGAGTCTAACTGTTTTGTGTCCCCATTGTGCATAAGGAAATCTGATTAAGGTAATGCTTAGCATCTATTTTAGATGGAACCACAGACTTCAAAAAGTCCTTTTCTAGAGGTTTTTAAGTTACATTCCACAGTAACTTCTAAGGTAAAGTTTTCTCGTACTTGTCTTCTTCATATTTTTCTGCATTCATCTGAAACCTGTAACTTACTCACATCTTAAGAGTCACGCTGACATGCGTGTGTGCCATTCCCAGCTCTGCCACCTAGTGATACGAACCTCTATTTTTAGTTTCTTCTCATAAAATGACAGCATTTTGAAGATTATAGTAGAAAAGAATATACCTGGGACAGAGTAAGTGCCCAGTAAAGTGTTCATTCCCAGCCACTTTTTTAAATAGACGTTCATTCCTCATGGACTCTATCTATATTACTTTCAGGGTTTTTTTCTGTAATTGAAGTACAGTCATAGTGTGTCAATTTCTGGTTACAGCACACTGTCCCAGTCATGCATGTACATACATATATTTGTTTTCATATTCTTTTTCATTGAAGGTTATTACAAGATACTAAACATAGTTCCCGGTGCTGTACAGAACAAACTTTTTTAAAATCTATTTTTATATATAGTAGTTAACATTTGCCAAATCTCAGACTCCCAAATTTATCCCTTCCCACCCGCTTTACCTGATAACCGTAAGATTGCTTACTATGTCTGAGTCTGTCTGTTTCGTAGATGAGTTCATAGTGTCTTTCTCTTTTTTCTAGATTCCGCATACAAGTGATACCATATGGTATTTTTCTTTCTTTTTCTGGCTTACTTCACTTAGAATGTCTAACGCTCTCTAGGTCCATCCATGTTGCTGCAGTATGCATTATTATTTATGGCTGAGTAGTATTCCATTGCATGTAGATATGTACCACAACTGCTTTATCCAGTCATCTGTCCGTGGACACTTAGGCTGCTTCCATGTCTTGGTCCTCTGCTCACACTGGGGTGCATGTATCTTTTTAAATTAGAGTTTCTGCTGGATATACGCCCAGGAGTGGGGTTGCTGGGTCATCTGGTAGGTCTGTTTTTAGTTTTTTGAGGACTCTCCATACTGTTTTTGACAGTGGCTGCACCAAACTACGTTCCCCCAGCAGTGCAGGAGGGCTCCCTTTTCTCCACACCCTCTGCAGCATTTGTCGTTTGTGATTTTTTAATGACGGCCATTCTGACTGGTGTGAGTTGACACCTCATTGTAGTTTTGATTTGCATTTCTTTGGTAATTAGCAATGTTGAGCATTTTTTCATGTGCCTGTTGGCCATCTATGTCTTCATTGGAGAATTGCTTGTTTAGGTCTTCTGCCCATTTTGGGATTGGTTGGTGGTTTTTTGTTACTAAGTTGTATGAGCTGCTTATATATCCTGGAAATTAAGCCTTTGTCTGTCACAGAAATATTTTCTCCCATTCCGTAGATTGTCATTTTGCTTTGCTTATGGTTTCCTTTGCTTATATGTTTGATCAGGTCCCATTTGTTTAGTTTTGCTACTATTTTTATTGCTTTGGTAGACCGCCCTAGGAGAACACTGCTGAGATGTGTCAGAATGTTTTGCCTGTTTTCTTCTAGGAGGTTTATCATGTCTTATTTTTGTCTTTAAGCCATTTTGAGTTTACTTTTGTGTATGGAGTGAGGGAGTGTTCTCACTTCATTGGTTTATATGCAGCTGTCCAGTTTTCCCAGCACCACTCACTGAAGAGACTGTCTTTTCTCCATTGTATGTTCAGGCCTCCTTTGTTGATTAATTGGCCATAGGTCTGTGGGTTTATTTCTGGGTTCTATTCTGTTCCATTGACCCATGTCTGTTTTTGTGCCAATACCATGCTGTTTTGATGACTGGAGCTCTGTAGTACTATCTGAAGTCTGGAAGGGTTATTCCTCCTGCTTTGTTTTTTTCAATATTGCTTTGGCAATTCTGGGTCTTTTTTGATTCCATATAAATTTTAGGATTGTTTGTTCTAGTTCTATGAAAAATGTCCTGGGTAATTTGATAGGGACCACGTTGAATCTGTAGACTGCCTTGAGTAATATGGTAAATATCTGTGCCCTCTTAATGGCCATTTATACTAAGTGCTTTTGAAGACACTAGTTGGAAAGTTACAGTGACTGTATTTCTCAACAAGTTCTTTTTAACAAGAACCTTTTTGTTGAACTTCAGTTATACTGTAATCAGTTTCCCAGACTGGCTCAGCTCTGTAGTGGCTTGTTTAAAGAACAGTAATACAAGAGCTGCGATTCGGGTCCCATGCCCCAGTGAGCTTGGGAAACCCTGGGTGAAGGGTGGGCCTTGTTGACAGACCTCTCTATAGTTAGGCCTCTCAGAGCCTGTGACAGGCTCCCAGACACTGAATCCCCAGGAGCAGTGCTGGCCGAACTTCCCAAACTCAGTGGACAGGGAACCGCTTCCACCCAGAATACTGGTAACCATTGCCAAGTGCTGCGCCAGAGACCGCCTGCCCGTAAAACCTGATGCCTTAAACTGAGCCCTGGTACAGAGTGTGCTAAGTGATGAAGTAAAGCAGCGGCGCGCGGGGTGATGTATTTGCTGGTTGATGATGTTACTTGTATGTTCAAGCAGAAAACGTTGGCCTTAATTAACTGGTCTGAGAGATTGTCTCCTTTAATCTGGCCTGTATTTCTCAAGCCTGTTTTTTGTTTTGTTCACTGACCAAGCTATTTGACTAGAACTGTATCATGTTCTTTCACCTGTAAGGACAATTAGGAAATTTTTTATTTGCAAATTTGTTAGTAGATTTTCAAATGTATTCACTGTGGGGAATAAAAACTAGTCAGCGTGGTACTGAATTGTATCTTGAACGTACAAGTGTTGGCGGGCAGAAGGGACGAGGACCAGCAGGTAAAAGCAAACCTACTTTCGGCCTCGCTGCTTCAGCCGCGGGCCGGCGTCGGCTCCTGGGGTCACAGGCTCTGACCTTCAAGGACCGAGGTCTGTCCAGCCGGTGAGGAGGAACACCGAGATGCGAGCTGGCTAAGTGCGCAGGGGCACGTGAAAACAGGCCAGAATGCTACTGTAAGTGACTGGTCACAACCCCACTGTTGACGCGGCATGTACGTGTGAGCAGAGGACCAGCAGTCAGGGTCTCAGTGTGAACCCCAGCCCCACTCAGGCACGCGGCGTGCCGGTGTGAAAACGCGTGGAAGGGAAAGTTAAAGAGCTCGCTTTTCTCTCACCCGCCACTCCACCAAAGTCCTTTCAAAAGGAGGTGGTTTTTAGTCACCATTTCTGCGGGTTTCTTTAGCTGCTGCTTTTCCTCGTGGGGTATTTTCAGACTAGACTACAGGTAATGAAAAGTACGTGGAAACCGTGTGAGCCTGCGCTCTGGTGACGTGGCCTTTCTTTAGGAATTTGGGATTCTTTTCCCCTTTAAATAAACCTTAGCATCTTCCTATGTTTTGAAAGGCAGGATTTAAGCAGAGAGATGAGACAAGGATCTGAGACGGGCGGTGTGGAAGCAAGCGTGCGGGAAGAACGCCCTGTGCAGTGAGGAGGACGCTTGGGTGTGCTGGGCAGGGGCCGTTCAGGGACGCACCCTGAGAACGCTTCGTATATAAACTAAACTCCAGGAGAAACAACAGATCCTAAATGATGACCTTCCTCGATCTTGATTAGTTTTATAAATGACCAACACACTTTCACAAAACATTCAGAGTCAACAGTGCATTTTATTATACATCTTGGGTTTAGACATTTCATATATGCTTTTAAAGCTTCAATGAACAGTTCAATACAAAATAAAAAAAATCAATGCAGCAGTGGTTCTCAGGCACAGAATTTAGGAGGCTGGAGCAGGCTTTCCCCCGGCATACCATGAATCTGCTTGTAGGGACTGTGGCAGTGGAACGTTCCTTCTGACCAAGCTGCCTTTTTGGTTGACTTTTGTTACAATGAACAGCTTTAGAAGGCATGATATTGCTAACTGGAAATGAGATTTAAAATACGCTTACAGCCTGTACTTTCTTGAAGTCTTTACGATCCGAACGATTCCCTTTTCTCCTAATAGCGCTCCACGGTCAACTAATGAAAACCCTATTGTCCATAAACTACCGGGAGCGCCTCGGCCTGGGAACCACTGCCCGTGGCTATTCGATGTCTTCCGGCCTCACCGGGTGAGGCAGCGGTATGATGGACTTCTTCTCGGTGTCCCTGGAAAGTGCCTTCCTCATGTCTGTCAGGACACAAAGTCTGGTGTAAGTACCCCGACAGCAGGGTATTTTATATCAGATTTAATGTATACAGTGAAGTTCCCGTAAGAGGTTTGTCCCTGACCCCGGCTGCCACCAGACGCTGACAGATGTATTCCTGTCTGGACTGGACTCCCAGTCACGAGTCAGACCAACCACGCCCCGCTGGGAGGCAGCTAACAGATGCCCGCAGCAGAGCAAGACAGCTGGCGGCAGGTGACCACCTGCTAGCTAGTCAGGGTGGGCTGGTAAAGGCAGGCTGGGGGGGACTCAGGTACTGAGTCCCACTAACACGGCCCCTCCCGGAGCGCTAGAGCGAGCGGGCGCCGCCCGGAGGCCGGCTCACCGTAGGCGTCCTCGTCGGGCTCCCCGTTGCTGGCCGAGTAGTACTCGATGACCGTCCTGTACACGCTGTAGCCCAGCTGCTTGTACATGCTGACCGCGACCTGGTTAGACACTCTCACAAAGAGATCGACAAAAAACCCGCCCTTCCTGTAATTACAAAGGGAAAACAAAGGAACGGGATGACTCCTAGGAAACACTTCTTTTAAAACAATACCTGCTTTGACTGTTCGTCGGGGGCCGAACAGGACCCTGCGTCTGATGACGTCGCAGTGTCCACTTTGCAGCACACGAAGATGACTCTGCATGTTAACATCTCAAAACCTACGGGCTTACTTAAAAGATAAACATTAAAGCATTTTATTTAAACCACAATTCTGCAAACTGGGTTTAAAAAATTAGTG